TACTAGCATGAGAATTAATATGTATTAACACCATTAAATGTTATCTTTAACTGGATAATTATAAAGGTGGTGATTGTACATATTATGAACCATGTAGTAGTATGTGAATTATCAAGATAGTTTTTGTCACTCTTGTACATCGAGAGAAAGATATCTATTGGGCCCCTTGACAAGTAAGATTAATTAGCATGGCCATGCTCAAATGAGGTGTCATTTGATCAAGATTAATCTTACTTGGTAATCAAGAAATATTAATTGAGAATAACAAGGATGACACGACCTAACCTTGTCTCAATTAAGATATCGTTTGACAAAAGAGAATTGTTAGCACAAATTAATCATTAAAAGGTTATGTCAGATTTAATTGACATTTATATATTTTGGATAGTCATAATGCCTTGCTAGAGACCGCTTATGATTTGTGAAGCTCGAATTAATTTCTAGCCCACTACCAATAATATATAAACCTACAGGGTCACACACCTAAGTGATTTGGATCATTAATGTTTGTTAATAACATTAAAATAGCTTGATTAGCCCAATTCGAAATAGGTTTTCGAATGGTATTGGGCTAGGGCCTCTTTAAGGGTTTTATTAGCCATAAAACCCCTTCTTTACTCCTCTTATAAATAGGGCCATATAGACCCACGAATTTTAAGAGTTAAAATTCACTTCTTAAACCTAGAGTAGAGAGGAAGAAAGAAGAGAACGCTAGCACGTTCCCTGCGGCCGATCCAGTCACGTGCGTGTGGATACCGGTAGAGCTCGGGATCGTTTTCTCGGACTGTCTGACATCCCTGATTAAGATTGTTATGTAAGTCCCTCTTAAATTCTTGTAATTTCGTTTATAATAAGAACCTCAGATCCGTTTGTTTACTTTTGGGTAGTAAAAAATTTTTGTTTATTCCGCTGCGTTTTTCTGCCCGAAACCCAACAGCGGTATCAGAGCCTACAGTTCTTTATTATACTCAGGTTACACGATTTAATGTATAATATATAATTTGATTATTTTGGGATTTATTTTCGGAATTAATTTTTATTAATTTCGAAATTATTGATTTATTAATTTCAGAATTATATATGTGTGTATTATATTCTGAATTTTTGTAAGGATGTGATATTCGAATAATTCGAACTTGATCCAATATATATTCACAATAATATTTGGAATGTTTTGTGATAATATTTATTTGAGAAATTTACCTAAATAAGACTAAACCTTATGAAAATTGCAAAAATAGGACACCCAAGTTCCACCCAAGTCGCGTAGGAGTAATTATGGGCGAAAATGCCAAAAATGACCTCCCTAACCGACGCACACGTACGCTAACCTCATTGACGGTTATAACCGGCCCATTACGGCAATTCCCGGTTTCCAAGTTTCATCATTGCCGCCGAAAAGAAAAGATTCCAAACATTAAATGGCTATGTGTTGGGAGACTTACCGTTGAGAGCTTGCGCGATAGAAGAGGCATTCAATCGACGTAACTTCATCTCAGTTCAAAACTCAATCTCTGAAAACTTCTACTTAGACGACAGTTGAAGTAGAATCGCGCACTTGAGCAAGTAGCTTCGTTGAGGACACTTGAAGGTCAAAGCAATGGAGGGCAAAGAGCTGAATCTATCAAATACAGTTGCCATCAAAATCAATTCCGAAATGGTATGTAATTACTTCTTATAGGAATGCCTAAAAATGCATATCGTTTAACGGTAACAGAGTTCAGAGTAAATTTGTAGAATGTAAATAGGTTGTAAATCAACGCGCAAAATCTTGTACGATGAATACTATGGCAATCAGAGTAAATTAAATGACATGTTTAGTAACATTTGATTACATCATCATGTTGTTATACAGTGGCATTGTAAGCATATATGAAGACTTTGATGACATTCTGTGTGAAATAATTACGAATACGTAGGCATTTTATGTGGAAGTGACATTTTAGCATTATAGCATCACATTGAATGACAAATGGAGAACGGATGAACTAATGACAGTTTAGTCAATTTTTATGAGGTCATTTGGTGGCAATTTGTATGAAAGTGACATTACATGCATATGGTGTTTTATACTGGCATTGCAACCTTATATGAACACTATCATGACATTCTGCCTTGCCTTAAGTAGTGACATTGTATGCATATCTGTTAGGTTGAAATCAAAATAGCATCACATTGAATGAAAAATTGAGAAATGGTGCACTAATGACAGTTTAGTCAGTTTTTATGAGGTCATTTGGTGGCAATTTGTATGAAAGTGACATTACATGCATATGGTGTTCTATACTGGCATTGCAACCTTATATGAACACTATCATGACATTCTGCCTTAAGTAGTGACATTGTATGCACATCTGTTAGGTTGAAATCAAAATAGCATCACATTGAATGAAAAATTGAGAACTGGTGCACTAATGACAGTTTAGTCAGTTTTTATGAGGTCATTTGGTGGCAATTTGTATGAAAGTGACATTACATGCATATGGTGTTCTATACTGGCATTGCAACCTTATATGCACACTATCATGACATTCTGCCTTAAGTAGTGACATTGTATGCATATTTGTTAGGTTGAAATCAAAATAGCATCACATTGAATGAAAAATTGAGAACTGATGCACTAATGACAGTTTAGTCAGTTTTTATGAGGTCATTTGGTGACATTTTGTATGAAAGTGACATTACATGCATATGGTGTTCTATACTGGCATTGCAACCTTATATGCACACTATCATGACATTCTGCCTTAAGTAGTGACATTGTATGCATATCTGTTAGGTTCAAATCAAAATAGCATCACATTGAATGAAAAATTGAGAACTGATGCACTAATGACAGTTTAGTCAGTTTTTATGAGGTCATTTGGTGACATTTTGTATCAAAGTGACATTACATGGTGATTTCTATTAGTCATTTTGTACATGGTGATTAAAATGCCTATATTTGTGTAAACTTGATAGACAATAACAAGAGCATTTAAGAAATCAGTGTTGGTGATGGTGGAAGACTTACGTGTCAACTCCTACTGCAATGTTACTGAGGTTCTTAAGAAAATAAGGACATATCTAAGCCAAGAGGAATTGACAGAGTTCAGCAATACTGTCTTTGGTTGGATGTTAAGAATAGAAGACATGCCCTGGCTCAGTGGACAATTGCTTTTGGGATTAATTGGAAACTTTGTGACTGAAGTTAATGGAAACACAGACAACAGTGTCATCAGGTTTCACATTAAAGATAGTGTCATAAGTTTTCAGAAGCATGATCTGGCAATAATGTGTGCTTTAAAGTTTGGAGCCGTGAAGCCAAATATTTCAGAGGAGCTTCAGGGAGATATATGGACAAATTATTTAGGAGCCAAGACAAGTGTGACTCGTGCAGATATTCAGAATGCATTGAAGAGTTACAAGAGCACTGATGAGAGCAGACTGGCAAAGGATGGAGTCAAACTGGCACTGCTATACATACTGTCACATTGCTTGTTTGGCAATCAACCTGCTAGACCAATGAAGGCATACTACATAAATCTAGTTAATGATTTGGATGCATTCAATGGTTATCCATGGGGTGATGACGTTTGGGTGGATTTAGTTAACAAGGTGAAACAGAGTTGTGAGGCACTGGATAAAGGAAAAGGAGATAGAGTGACATTCCCTGGCTTCATGGTGGCATTCCAGTGGTGGGCATTTGAAACATTTCCTGGTTTAGCAAAAGCTGGTTTGTGCAAGGTAATGAAGGGGGCAGAAAACATCATGCCAAGGACTCTAAAGTGGGAATTTAAAAAGAAACCTACACTGGAGGTGCTTTGTGAAATTATATTCAAGAATGACAAGGTATTATACTGATTCATATGTATAATTTTAAATTTTATATGCACACATTGTTTACTAACATGGTCTATTTGTTTAGTTTGAATGGACGCAGATTGTACCAACTGCGGATGAGATTGCTATGATAGAGGAAGGAAATGAAATAAATGAGGAGGTGATGCACCTTGTCATCAACAATGTTAGCAGAGTTGATGCTGAAAAGCCAAAAACTATTGCAGCAAAAGGGATAGAAAAGGTGATGCAGACCAGAGCAGGCAAAGGACAAACAACAAAAGCGAAGAAGGGCACTGGTAGAGCAATCAAATCTCAAGCAGGACCTTCTAAAAGAAGAAAGCAGACTGTGGTGGAGCAAGAGAGTGATGATGACTCGAGTGAGAAAGAGACTGATGAAGGTGAAGAAACTGAGAGTGATGATTCTAATGACAGTGGACGTGAAGGAGAGAAGTATGTAGTTTTCATGAGCAAAGACAGCAAGAGTATGAAAAAAAACATGAGAAAACAAGCAAAAGAGACTGCCAGATTAGTGGCAGAAATGAAAAAAATTAAGAAGACTCAGCAAAAGCAAGAGGCTCTTTTGAAAGATGTCATTCTGATGCTCAACAAAATGTCCAAGGGTGTTGAGAAGAGTGAGCCTACAATAGCAAGTGAAAAGGGTGATACGGATGAAGAAGAAAGTCAGCAAGAAGAAGAAAATGTTAATGAAAAAGAAGATGATGGATTTGCCATGACTGGGCAAGATTCTGAGAATGATGAGCAGCCTGAGATAAAGGATGATGATGTTGCTGATATGCCTGAGGAAACTGAGTGCATTAATGCAGAGATTGAGGATGGTGTTGTACAGCATGAGGGTGGCAATATAAAGAACAAGGATGGTGTTGTAGAGAATGAGGATGGTGGTATAGAGAAAGAGGATGCAAATGTTGAGAGTGACCATTTAGTAGTGAATAAGGATGCTAATGCAGAGGCTGAGGATTCTAAAGAAGAGACTGAGAATGCTGGTGGTTTTTCTACACACAAAAATGAAAAAGAAATGCAAGAGAAGAAAAGTAAGGAGATAGAGAAGAACACTGAAGAACAGGAACCTTGTGACATGCCTACTTTTAACATATTGACTCAGTCTCAAGGTAGTGAGAAAAAAAATGAAGACACTGTGCAAATGCAAAAGGAGGGGCTATCTGCACAAGAAGATAAAACTGACACTGCAGCATCTGGTTGGGGTATGGGGTCACAGGACAATAGCCAATTTATCAAAGAGATGTGCAAGAGTGCAGATGAAGCGGCAAAAAAGGCTTTTGAGAGCTATTCTACTAATCCATGCAGAGCAATCATAGTAAAGACTGACCAGGTAAATACCAAAACTCAGTAAAATGACATTCAAGTGTCCTTTTCACATGTTAAAAATGACATCGAAGTGGCAATGCTTATGACCATATTGTAGTATCACATTGAATGTATATTACTTCCTTTTCAATAAACATATACATAATAAATAATATGTGCCAATGTCACAGGAGGATCTTCCCAAACAAAAACGTGTTGTTAGGTCACCAGTGAAGCACATGGGAACTGAGCATGCATCAAAGAGGAGGAGGAGAGAAAAGGGAAAGAAAAGAGAAGATGATGAATTTCTGCCACCCATGAAGCAAATAATTGGACCTTTCTCTGAAGATCCAACAGACAGCCCACCAGTTGAAGAAATAGAGAGGGTGAAAGCGTACCTGCAAGTTGGATTGCTGAAGAACTTCCAAAAAAATAAAACCGGCAGAAGGTACAAAATAGAGGAAGACAGAATGACTGAAAAACCATTCTTGCTGGACACAATGAAAGTTGAATCCAAAACATGGTTATACGACCTGTTTATGAATCACCAATGGATAACTGACAAGGTACGCGTATAAATGGTCATATAGTTGTCAGTTTGACTACAAAGTGTAATTTTAAATGCATATATGGTGCTATAGAATGCCATTATTAGTCAGTTTACTTTTAGTTGCTAAATATGTATTTTATTTCTTGCAGCATGTTGAGGTAGTAATGTACTATTTCAACATGAAAAGGGTGCATTACCAAATGCCTCAGAAGTTTACCACAACTGGACCATTTTTCTTGCAAATAGTCAAGCGTGAACTTGATACAATATCAAAGGGTCACTACACATACCACAAGTCAGCAGAAGAAGAAAACATTGTGCGTGAAATAATAGGTTCTAACAACTTTAGCCTGCACTGGAGCAAGGCAGACTTTGTGTACCTTCCTCTGAATACTGGACATCATTGGGTCTTGTTAGTGCTTGATATCAAACAGAGAAAAGTAAGGGTGTACAACTCCAATGCCAGAAAAGGTGATTCACTGAGGGATATCAGATCCTATATTCCAAGCATAACAGTGCTCCTACCCAAACTAATGGATTATCATCAAGTGTACGCATTGATGGGTGAAGAGCCTATGGGCGAAAGGTTTTTGGAAGTCGAGCCTGTAGAAGAATGTCCACAGCAAGATGATGGGTAAGAGGATATAAATTTACTTAAACAGATTGTGTAATAGTGTACTACTTTATTATTTTAAGAAAGTGCTTTTATTTTGGTTGTTATGAATCAGGGGAAACTGTGGAATGTACATGTTGAAGATTGCAGAATTTCTAATGATAGGGATGGACATGGATGCCATATATCCTGAAGCAATACAATTCTTTAGGCAAAAAATGGCAACTGAGTTGATACTATATAGCGAGAGAAGGCAGTGTCAGAAAGAATGAAGTGATGCTTTAGAGACAATGATGCTTTTGTTGGAAGACTATTTCATATGTACTAGTACTTTTAATATCATGGCATGACATCAAGTACATTTGTTTGGGAACTTATGTTTATCCTTTCTTATTATTTTCGAACAGCATGTTGTTTGACTTTTTTAAAACAATCAGTTGCATTGTGTTTTGAATATATGACATTTGGTTTAGACATTATGACATGGCATTGTGAGATTGCATTTTATTGAATTTTGGGTCAAATAGTGATCGTTTATCTACAACATATTTGACATTCGGATGACAGTTGTTAAAAGTTTAAATGACATCTACATGTGAAAATGTCATTATTCAATAAACAAAAAATGACAATATTGACATTAAGTGACATTTAACATGACATTCATTTGAATAAAAAATGTCAGCAAATTATGTTGTTTGACTTCTTTTTTGACAGTTGTTCTTTGACTTCTTAAAGACAATGAGAATGCATTTTATTGAATTATGCATATTATTCATACTTGTATTCATCTATGCATGGATTGTTAGTGGGGTCAGATTTGAGTACATACAACATGCAAATGACATAAAAATGACACTTAGTTGACATTTGTTAGGATGTCAAATGACAAATGGCTAAAAATATTACACTAAATTGTTTACTAAAACTTTTAATAGGTATAAGGAACGATGACATGTCGAAATGAAATGGAACAACTTAACATGTAAATGACATGTTAACAATTCATTTTTTGAAACTTAAATGCCATCAAATCTGACATATGTTAATTAACAATAAACAAAATGCCAAACCATAAGTCAACTGACATCAACTGTGAAATATGACATTGAAATGTATTCATAACAAACTGGCATCAAGTGTGAACCACAACTGCCATCAAATATGAAATATGTCAGTTAAGCTTAAACAAAATGCCAAAAGACAACTCATAAACACTAAATGTCAGAACATTTAAACAAATGACAACTACTTCCAAACCACATAGTAAAATTCCTAAAAGTATATGATGCAATCAATTAGCCATGACATCAATGGGTATTGATTGGAATGGGATTCCTACAAGTTTTCTTATTATGCCCAAGCACATGACATCTAGAACATCTTTGCCTTTTTGAACCTCTATATTCTCCAATGGATGGAATCCTAGATTTCTTCGGGCGACCAGGAGGACGTTTCATACAAGTTGGTGGCTTGCATCGTTGGTTTTGAGTAGAAGCAGGAACGGACCAACTGTCACGATCAGCAATTGGATGCATAATACCAGACCATGTAGCAAGCCAAGCATCTCTAGTGTAATAAGGTGAAATATAAGTATAACATGACAGATGTGGGCGTATAGCAATTGCAGCAACAGCATGAGCACAAACAAAGTGATCTAGTTGAAAGTGGCCGCAAGTACAACTTCTAGTATTGAGGTTGACCACAAAAGAAGTGCATCTTCTATCAACAACTTCAAATTCATAGGCACATGATGGTTTTACCTAGGAAATAGACAAAATATGAATATCAAAGTAGAAGAAAAACAAATTATCAAACCAATATACTAATAGAAGGACACAAACTGACAGATTGTAAAGCCAAATGACATACTGATAACCAAAGTGGAATTATATAAGGAGAAATAAATCTGTGAACTGACTTATGGTTAAAGAATAAACTTTGACATACCTTCATACGTGTAGCTTCAGCTTGCAAAGCTACAAGACGTTTCTCACACTTCCGTGTGAGTATAGTACTTGTTTTCTCAGCCTTTTCTTTCCTCTCAGTGAACCATTGCTGCATCCTTTCACGCAAGAAATCAACAACTTTAGACACAGAATACTCTCTTGCACATACATTGACTTTGTTCATAGATTCAGCACAATTGGATGTCATAATATTATATCTCTTTGGTCCAGACATTACTTTTGCCCATGTGTTAGCACCTAGTTTCTCTAGCCAAGTCCTTATCCTGGGGTCTTCAGAATCCAACATGGATAAGTAGTCATGATATTCTTTAACAGTTGCTGCCATATAGGCAGCTTTGAACTTCCATCCCAAACCAGCTGCAGATCCTCTGAATTTTGGTGTCATGTTACGACGCAGATGAGCAACACAAAAACCGTGGCTAGCATGTGGCAAGAGTTCAGAAACAGCCTTTATAAGCCCTCTATGTCGTTTTCAATTGAGCTTAGTAACATGTCTTTCCTCTCAACCTCAAATACATCTTGGACCCAAGTGTCGCAAGTGTCAATTGCAAAAAGAGAGTGATTATCGGTGGGGTATTTCATGGAGTCGTAGATATTAAATTCAACTTTCTCACCATCGAACTCCATGGTTAATATTCCACTAAAGACATCAATTTTTGCTTTGGTCGTCTTTAAAAAGGGTCTTCCTAATAAAATAGGGACTGCATTTTTATCGTTCTCCATTTTGAGAACGTAAAAATCAGCGGGAAAAATTAAATTATCCACCATGACGAGTACATCCTCTACTACACCTTTCGGGTAAGCATTAGATCTATCGGCAAGTTGGATAACAACCCCCGTCTCATGTAAAGGGCCTAGTTCTAGGGACTTATATAGAGAATATGGAATGACATTGATTGATGCACCCAAATCTAACATAGCCCTAGAAGAACTAGAATTTCCAAGTTTACATGGTATAGTGAACATTCCTGGGTCACTATACTTTTTAGGCAATTTCTTTTGAAAAACGGCCGACACTCTTTCACTCACTTGGATTTTATGATTTCCATTTAATTTGTGTTTCCGTTTAATTGTGCAAAGCTCTTTTAAAAACTTTGCAAATCTAGGAACACCTTTAATTAAATTGAGAAGAGGGATATTTACCTCACATTTGCTTAAGGTCTCATAGATGTCCTTGTCATTGTTGTATTTTCGGTTGTCTTTGAGAGCCTCCGGAAAAGGTGGCACCGGCTCGTATGAATCGAGCGGTGGAAACTTTCTTTGAGGTGTGATCTCCTCCTCATTTTCTTCTTCATTTTGAGGATTTGTGCTTGGCACCAAGATATCCTCCTCTTCCTCTCCAACATGGCTCTTTGCTTTTGCCTTAGCCATAACCAATTCTTTGCCACTTCTCAAAGTGACCGCGTGAGCTTGTTGCCTTGGATTCGGCTCCGTTTGAGATGGGAGTTTTGCCGAATCCTTAGCTTCAAGCCTACTCACGGCATTTGAGATTTGGATCATTTGATTTTCCAAGTTGTGGATGCTAGATTTTGTTGTTTCTTGGAATTGGGCCACACTTTGTTGCATCGTGGCCATGTTCATGGCCAGTGATCGAATCATGTCTTCAGTGGACATGCTCGAGTTCGATGTTTGGCCTTGTTGTTTAAATTGTTGAGGAGGAGGGTTTGATTGTTGAGGGGGTTGAGAGTTTCCATACCTTAAGTTGGGATGATCTCTCCATCCTGGATTGTAGGTGTTGCCATGCGGATCGTACCTCCTTTGGCCTTGGAAACCCAAAGCATTGACTTGCTCGGGGTTCTCCTCTTGAAGTGTTGGGTAAGAATCGGTGGGATGCCCTTGTATCGAGCATATGCTGCAGACCTTGACTTCTTGGGTTTTTGGATTCAAAAGAAAATCTTTAACCAAAGAAGTCAAGCCGGCCACTTGACTTTCCAACGAGTTGTTGGATTCTACTGCCATAACTCTTTTCGATGATGACCACCCATTGTAATGTCTCGAATTTTCGGCTAACTCCGAAATGAGGTCTCTTGCTTGGGAAGGGGTTTTGTTAACAATACCCCCTCCGCATGCCGCATTCACCATGGGTCTATCTTGATCAACAATCCCATCATAGAAGTAGAGGATGAGATCTTGTTCCGAATATCCATGATATGGGCAACTAGCGCATAATTTTTTGAAGCGCTCCCAATATTCGTACAAGGTCTCATCATCTGCTTGCTCAATGTTGCTAATTTGCTTTTTGAGACTTGAAGAGATAGATGCGGGATAGTACCTTTCGAGGAAAGCCTTTTTCATTTGAGCCCATGTAGTGATACTCCCCGAAGGAAGGTAGAATAGCCAGTCCTTCGCGGTGTCTTTAATAGAAAATGGCAAAGCTCTCAGCTTTATTTGCTCCTCGGACACGCCAATAGGGCACATGCTTGTGCACACAATATGGAACTCCGAAAGGTGTTTGTTCGGATCTTCCCCCGTAGGCCTTGGAAATAGGGAAGTAGATGAATGAGCCCAGATTTAAGCTCAATCGTGACCCCCGTATCAAGAGTTGGAAAAGTGATACACAAGGGTTGTTGATTTAGATTCGGAGCCGTGAACTCCCTCAAAATTCTCGTTTCATGAGCCATAGTGATTGGCTCTTCGGTTTCGCTAGATTGAGAACTAGCACTTGATGATTCTCTCAAGTCGGAGTTTGAAAATTTGTTTTTCAACCGCTCGAGAGTTCGTTCTATTTCGGGGTTTGAGTGGTATGTGATTTCGTTCAGTGAACGATATTTTACCATGTACTACAAAGCTCAGAAGAAATAGAAATCTTTATACTTGAACCATATTTTTTTTTCTTTTTCTTAAAATAAAATAAAAAGAAAAATTAAATGCCTGTCCCCGGAAACGGCGCCAAATTTGACGTGCACTTTGTCGTGCGTGCACTCAAAATAAATCGATACTAACACTTATACGTAGTATAGGTGAAGTAGAGTTCGTATCCACAGGGAAAGGAATAACTTTCTTTTTATGTAAATAGTAAATAAAAGGGGGGGTTTTGATTGTTGAGTGATTTAATTAAATTAAACACGAAGATGAACGAGTTATATGGGATTAAATTCAAGAATAAAAGGGACTTGGCCTTGCTACTTTCCACTTGTTGATATATTTTAGTCGATCGTTGTTATATCTATAACTTATCCCCTCTCGAATACTCAATCGCGGAGTATCTCCAATTCATCGAGGGTAGTTATTAACAACGACCGTTCATTAATAACCCTTACTATTTATCAAATATAGAACAACGCCATATACCGATATAATAGTAGTATTTAACCTCTTTAACTCCTTGATGAAATCAATTAAGATTGATAACCTCAACACAACGGTTTCGGTTTAACCAACAAAATTAATCCCTCTTAAG